TGATTTTTTAAAGTTACTCCTGTAAATGGCATATTTTAAAATTACTTTTGTTTATTCACAGCAAACATTAATGCAACTGATTTATACACATGCTCTTATGTATCCAGTTACCTTATCCAACTGTTATTTCTAACAATTTACATTGAAATATTTTTTTCTAATATATTTTTATGTATCATATGTTATACTTTATTTCTATACACTTCTAACACACTTTACTTTTTTTTAATATTTATTTTATTTATTTATGCATACAAGAACTGGGGTATAGGCCAGAGGTATGGTGAATCTTCTGATTCACTGGAGACAGAGTGGGGAGCAGAACAGGTGGAATGACTGAAATACACTGCTGAAGAGAGCAGCGGGCGAGACAGGAGAGGTCTGCCGCGCCATGTGGGTCAGCTCCCTGGACAGGGATTGAACTCATGCTGCAGTGGCTGGTGGGAGCTTCATAGTGCTGAGAGTTAACCTCTTGCACCACCAGGGAGGCCATTTATATACTTCTATGTAAAGAAGCATTAGTAAATAATGAGTTTCCTTTCTCCCACTCCAAAATTTATGTGTTTAATTTATTTTTCTTGTCTTACAGGACAAAACCAGACCCTCCAGTGTATTTTGAACAGAAGTGGTGATGATGGGCATACTTGCCTTTTTCCTTATTTTCTCTTTAAACGTAAAAGAATGCTTAAGTTTCTCCATTAAAATACTGCTTTCTGTAGAGCTCTGATAGTCTGTATCAAGTTAAGGAGAATTTACTGTTTCTAGCTGCTAAAAGTATTTATTTTTAAGATCATGAATTTGTGCTGCATTTTATCAAATGTTTTGCTTTCTCTTTAAGATCATATGGTTTTTATTCCTTAATCTGTTAATGTAATAAAAGAAAGTTATAGTTTTTCTAATATTAAACTTCTTTTAGCATAGTTGGAGGAAAAAAAAAACTTGTCATGATATACTATCTTCATTAGCCTATATTGACTTTATTTTGTTGATGTTTTGCTTTAAAAGATTACAAATACATTCAGGAATGAAAATAGCCAGAAGTTTCTGTCTTAGGCTGTCTTTTACGGTTTGATATCAAGGTTTTACTGGCTTCATGGAATCAACTAGGTTTTATCCCTCCTATTTTATCCTTTGGAGGAAAAATCAGAATTTTCTGTTCCTGAAAGTTTTGATAAAATTTGTCTTTAAAACAAGCTGAGCCTGGTGTTCTCTTTATAAGATTATAAACTATGATTCAATTACTTTCATGGTTATAGGACTATCAAATTCTTACATTAGTTCAAGACAATGATATAACTTTAAGAAATGTGTCCATTTCTTCTAAATTTCAAACATATTACCATATTGCCTTTTTATAGTCTAGCCTCTTCTGGATCTACAGTTAAGATCCCTTTTTCCTCGCTAAGATTGATTTATGATCCTTTTCTCCTTTTTCCTTGATTAATCATGCCAAAGGATGTTCTATCTTGTTGATCTCTTTAAAGAAAATATTTTGGCTTTATACATCCCTCCTCTATGGCATCTTTGTTTTTATGCTTCTTCCTATGCATACCTGCCTTCCCTCCCCTGCTTCACTGATACTTACAGTGATACTTAGTTGACATATAATTAAGTGTAGCTTTGTTTACAAAATTTTTAATTTACCTTAATTTTTAAATTTTCATGCCTGCTTTCCACTTGGGCTTATTTTAATTTTTATCTATTTATTTAATCAACTTTCAGCTTACTCATTTTCAATCTGTCTTCTTTGCTCATTTAAACATTCAATACTATACACTTCCCTGTAAGTATTGTTTTCACTGCAACCCACAAATTTTCAATGAGAAGTAGTATTTTCCTTATTGTTCAGGTCTAAGTCTTTTTTAAATTTCTGTTGTCATTTCTTCTTTGACCTATATGCTATTTATTTAGGAATGTGCTTTTAAATTTCTATATATCTGGTTGTTGGTGTTCATTTTGGTTACTTATTTCCAACTTAAAACTACTGGGAATGTTCCTGGGAAGCCATATTCATCCCAAGAAGAAGCAGGGTGAGCCCCATAACACTCTTCACTGGTATCTGGCTCTGGAAAGGCAGAACTTACTCTCTCACCCAAAATAACTCTAATGCTGGAAAATATATGAAGTGTGTCTGGCACAGGCTGACGCTAGTGGATAGCAGAGGACATGCGTCTGAACAAAGGGAAGCTCGGACGTGGGTGCCACACTCACTGTGGCCTGTGGTCTGGGGCACTTTTCCAAGCCACAGCGAAGGGAAACAGAGCTCTGGCAGACAGTGATATCTCCCAGGGCAGAGGAAGTGCAGATAAGAGTGTAGGTGCCAGGAATACATGGACAGGGTACCAGGGAGCAAGGACAGAAAGTCCCTGAAATCTAGGGGCTCACTTCAGTCCTTGGCTGAATCCTAGGCTGCCCGGGTGAGGACACTGCCTAAGAGGGCTAGGAAGCGTGGGCTGCTCAGTGGTGGGAGAGGGGCTGAGATGGGAGAAATACGCAGCCCTGCAGTGCTGAGAGACACTGCACTGCTAACTCAGCCAGGGCAGCCAGGCAGTGGGAAACCCCAGGCCTCTCATCTGGGCCTGCACAAGGCCAGGCCACAGGAAAAGGGATTTTGTCCCAGAACTAAGCCCCAGACTGAAATATACCAATTCCAACCAGGAATGCCAACTTTTATAAAACCAAAAGATCACTAGGGAAAAAACCAAAAACACTATTTAGAGAACATATATGTAACATAAACTTTCTATAATATAACTTCCACAGAGCCTCACTGGTGGCACAGGGTTTAAGTCTCAGAACTATCAGGCTCTTATCTCCAGACACTGCACATGAGTTCCCTGGCCAGGGACCTGACCCACATGGTGCAACAGACCTCTCCTGTCTCCCCGCTGCTCCTCTCAGCAGTGTGTTTCAGTAGATCTGACTGTTCTGCTCCCCACTCTGTCTCTGGTGAATCCTCTCACCCCCACACCTCTGGCCTGTACCCCAGTTCTTATATGCATCAATAAATAAATCTTTAAATATATGTCTATATAACATCCACAATACACTATAAAATCACCATATTTATAGTGAATCCTGAAATTCTGACCATTTAAAAGGACATTTAAAGGAGATAAATATCCACAAAACTGAAATCAGAAAATGATTTTATAGCTATCATTAATATGTTAAAGAACCTAGAAGAAAAGGCAGACAAAATGGGTAAAAAGATGGAAGATTTCAGCAGACAAGTAGAAAATAAGGGAACCAAAGGGAAATTGAAAAGTTCACTATCTAAAATGAAAGCTGCACTATTTGGGCTTCATAGCAGTGGCAAAAATTAGAAAATTCCAAGACAAGCCAATTTAGCAGAGAGGAAACCCTGGGACCAGTCAGCCAGGAGGTACGAGTGTGTTCAGCCCTCGGAGGTAGCTGCAGACCCGGCAGGGAGCTGGGCTCAACTAGGCCGTGCCCTAGGGAGTGAAGGGACATTTGAAGAGCAGCAGCTACAGCTATGGGATCAAGTTAATCAGGGAAGTGGGAGAGCAAACGGAGTGCTGCATAGTGAAGAATCACCAGTGGTCATAGACTTAGGGTCCCAGTGTGTCCAACCATCAGCGCCCTTACACCACCAGATGGCTGAGCAAATTCCCAGCCCCCGCCCGTAGGCATGCAACCTGGCAGTGGGGCTGAGGGGCTGCTTAACAAAGCCCCCCCTTGATTCTGATGCTTGAGAGCATGTGAGACCCGCTGACCTAGCGCAAGATAGCAGCAAGGCAGAGGGGATGGGGGGGGGGGCGTGCTGGAGTGGGCCATTTGGGAGACGTCCCTTGGTGAGATGACGAAGTCGGGACATGGCTAGGAGATGAGAAACTGTGGCCAAGTGGAAAAAAAGATCATCAGTGAAGGAATGCTCTAGGAGGTAAGGTCGGTGTCAGACAGATCAAGAACATGGACACCAAATTCAAGTGCTGACAGGACAAAGACTGTTCATAAGGGGATGTGGCCTAGAGAACAGTAATGACAGAGCCAACAAGATCACTAGAGTGAGACCTGACAGCTGCCCTTCCAAAGAGCGAGGGTTACAAGAGAAAAGAAGAAAAATAGTCTGCAACTAGCAGAGTCATTCTGACAGTCTTCCTGCGGCCCTTCCGCTCCATCTGGAAATTCCCGCCCCAACCAGTCCCCGTCCGTCCGTGGCTGACCCCGCGAGCTTCCTGCCAGCACGCACTCTCTCCTTGCTTGCTGAGGACTCCAACAACATCTGTATGTGCCAGCCTTCTCTGCATGCCAGATCATGGGCACAACTGCTCAGGGATGCTAAGGGGGTGACTGCTGCTGGGACATCCCCCCTTCTCTCTGCTGCTCCCCTTCTTCCTGCCTGGAGCTCTGATAATATCATGGAATTCCCACACCAACCTTCAACTCCACCCCCTACCTCTTGAATTCTCCTCCAGAAAGAAAGGAAAATAGCTAACTTGTTTAAATCACAGTTTAAAATTTCCTTGTATATGGAGCCAAGTCGGTCTCTAGCAAGTCAGGCCCCTGAAGTGGGGTTCTTTGCTCCTGGTTCACCTCTACCTACTAGGCCCACCTCAGAGGCTTCCCTTCTTGTGCGGCCACAAAGGCAGCACCCTACCATGCACTCACCCCGCCCTCCAACCTCCCCTTCCCATACCTCCTATTTTGGCAATGTTTGTCTTCCTGCCAGGAAGGACCAAATTTTATTCACTTTTGTCTTATACCTCATTCTTAGCAGCCAGACAAGGTTATGTAAACTATAGTCAATTAACGTTTGCTACATTAAATCAGTAAGAACCTCACTTCCAGTATCCCGACTGATTAACTAATGACCTTTATGTCCTTGCCAATAGTCTTCCTTTATTTAAGATTTCCATCTGACCTTGCTCCTGCCTTTTCCAGAAGGCTAGATAGACCAAGGGAAGATGGCCAAAGTCAGCCAGACTCAGAAGAGTGAAAACAAAGCATCCTGATCACAGTGAAGCCAGAAGACGTACCGGCAGCTCCTGGGGTCTTCCCGCCACATCCTGGGTCCTCCTGGAAGAACGCTTGTTTGCATTCACATAGAGTTTTCGTTTGTGGAAGAGCTTCCCATTTAGTTTCTGGATCGCCAGTTCTACATTCTGCATGGAGCCCAGATCCACAAAAGCAAAGCTGCCAAGGAAGGAAAGCAAGGGAACAGTTCCAGGTACCCACTAGAAGCGAACCGGCACCAAGGTTGAGAAACACAGTTGTGCCCCCGCCTGGGACATTTAGGTCGGTAACAGACCCATGCATGAGGGTGGGCCCAAGGGCTCTAGCCTAGAGTAGTGTGCTGCAGGCTAACCCATCGAGGTGGGTATGGGCACACTCCGCCATGTTCGCAATATGACCAACCCTGGTATTAAGTCTGCTCCCCACTTCCGCAGTGGCAGAGGAGGGGTGTCCCCACAAACACCATGCTGGTGTCTGGATTTGGGCTGGGCAGTGGAGAGACAGTCTGGGTGTCTGGGGAATCAGAAGACACGAGGGGACCGTCACCATACATCCTGAGGTTACATGGCCTGTGGGCTGTCTTCATGCAGCCCCCCCCCCTCCCAGAGTTCAAAGCAACTTTATTGCTCTGAAAATGAGAAAGGGAAAATAGACCCAGTTTTCAGGGGCAGCCAAGGCTGAGGGAGCACAGTGACTTACCTCAAGCCAGAAAACCAGGCAAGAACGCAACCCAAAACAAATTCTGGTCCCTGGACTCTTAAAGCAAGGTTGTACTGAGCTGCTGGGTCAAAGGGTTAAATATGGAAAGGGGGTTTCCCAAATGTCATTTTGCCAAGTCACAGTGGGTGTGGATTTGGGAGCTGTTAGCTAGTCTGCAATATCAGTGCATCAGCAAAACGGACAAGAGGAAAGGAGTTGCTTCCCAAAGAAAACAAAGGAAGAACTGTCATTACCATTTGCAGCCATTCTGGATTTTGTGGACATGGAGAGGGTTGAAGTCCTTTAGAAGGCACCGAATTTCCTCCTACAATGGCAGGGTGTAAACGAGAAAGAGACCCACAGACAAACCTTACTGTCAGTTCTCAAGGTGCTAGGTCCCCGACCAGCTACACTAATTCACTGACCACGTTAACCGAGAATCTATAAGGTGCTGCTGTGTGCGCCACTTTTTGTACTAAAGTGAGGCCAAGACAGAGACCAGAAAGACACAAGCCCTGCCTCCAGCAGAAGCACAACGGTAGAGTGGGGCTGCAGGCAGGGATGTGTCGTAAACATGCCGTCTCATCACAGGCCATCAATTCCCTAGTGAGGGAGGACAGCCGGCGCGCCTGCCGCACCCCGGATTTGGAGGGAGAGGCGGTGTTAGGGCAGGCTGCCAGGAGGAAGGGACTTGTAATCGATCAGGAGGCTAGGCTCTCCCCTTCCTCTCTGCCTGGGCAGGGAGGCTTGCTTTAAGCAAGCCCACTCTGGAGAGCTGACCACCTGTGCTGACTCCATTTTGTGTTCACGGCAACCTGCTTTCAGTTCTTCCATTAAGCATTCAGCCAGCACGCTACATGCAAGCCTGACGCTGAATGCACCAGTAGCTAGGGACTGAATTTGCCTGAGCCCTGCACTCAGAGAGCTTCTAGTTCAGAGGAGATAGACACAGGTGATCTGTGCGCATGGGGCACATTGAGTCAGTAAGAGCAGGACAGGAGAGCAGGGGGAGAGGAAGGGGGAATTCTTCCCGGGTAGGTCTCTGGTCAGGATGCTCAGAGCCACACCTAGGTTCCACCTCTCCCCTCCCCACTATCCAGGGCAGCCAGGCAGAAGGCCACCAGCCCCTCCCCAGGTACTTCTCCACATCCACCCTGGATACCTCCCGCCCCAGTGCACCCAGGTCCCGTCTCACTCTGCTGCCTGGGGCCTGTCTGCACACACACAGGGCCTGCTGGACTTGAGATAGCATCAGTGGGACCCGACGCCCTTTCGAGCTACACCCTATTTTTCCTCTTTTCTGCCAACCTTGTAGAAATAGCCGTCTCCACCTAATGCCTCCATTTCCTCTCCGCCCACTCCCTCCTGACTGCCTGCAGTTTGGCTTCTGTTCCTGCCCTACTGAAAGAGCTTTCTGGAAGGTCACAGATGAGCTCCCACTGCCTATGGCAACTGCTTTTCTCCAGGCCTCCAAGCTCAGCAACTACCTGTGCGTCTGGGCACTTCCTCCTTCCTTAGCTCCCACAGCAATTACACTTGTAAATTCCACAACTGTGATGAAAACCATTTTTTCCCTAGGAAACTATTTTGGAAAAATGTATATTTATACCATCTCCTTTTAAAAGCGGCTTTTACCAATCTAAAGTCACTTTGTTGGCTTAGGGAAATAGAAATACATTATGTATAACTCATTTTTCTCAGTCTGCGTGTTTATATTACATTTAAATTCAAATTTTCTAATTTGCTTTACTTTTAAATATTTAATGTTTATTACACATGAATCGACAAGATGCTGAGCAACAAGCAATTTGTGAGAACAAGCAATATGTGCTTAGCATTTTCAGCTTATAAAGTACTTTCATATACCTTATTCCATTTGATCTTAAAACCACCCTGTCAAGTGCACATGATTGTTGTCCTCATTCTCAGAGGCACAAGACAAGGATCAGAGAGGTTAAGTGAGTTCCTTCAGAGGACACAGCCCGTTTGGAGCCAGGGTTTGGACCCATGGCTTCTAATCCTATATTCTTTTTCATTATCTCAGGCAAAACCATAGCTGTCTTCTCTTCAGGTTTTATCACTATTAAAACAAAACAGAAAGTTCTTTAACCATTTTCTATCTTCTATAGCAGGTATCAGGAAGCCACAGCCTTGAGCCAAGCCCAATCCATCACCCTGTTTATAAGTAAAATTTTACTGAAACAGTCACACAGTTCCTTTCCTTGTCATCTATGGCTGCTTTCGTGCTACGAAGGTGGAGTTGTGTATGACGGGGCATGTGGCTTGCAAAGCATAAGGTATGTACTATGTGACCCTCTGCAACATTTGCCAATCCCTGTTCTAGAGCAGTGGTCTGAAAGTCTCACTGTAGGGCCCTCTCTAGTGGTGCAACGGGTTAGGATGCAGCACTGCAAGCTGGCCACAGCGCTTTGGTACAGAGCTCCATCCCCGCCCCGGAGGTGACCCACATGGCACAGCAGACCTCCTGACCCGCCCGCTGCTCCCCTCAGCAATGTACTTTGTCCATCTGCCTGTTCTGCTCCCACTCTGTGTGTGGTGAATCCTCTCACTGCCCCTGCACTTCTGGCCTGTACCCCAGTTCTGTATGCATAATAAATCTTAAGAAAAAAAGAAAAGAAAGTCTCACTGTAAATGAGGTTCAGCTGGAGAGTGCCTTCTTTCTGTGCTTTTCAAGTACAGAAGCCTGGCCCATCCCAAGTGGTCAAAATCAAAACCTCTGGGGTGGGATCAAATTATCAGTATTTCTTAAAAGCTCCCCAGACAATAATAAGCAGCCACGGTGGAACATTCCTGTGCACAGTAGCAAGCAGATTCTGGAAGCCCTGGTTTTCAAACAGCGTGCTGGAGAGTGAGAGTGCCACCACCTTCACACAAACACAAAAACACCTGCCCACACCTTTTGCACCAGACTGAGGTCAGTGACCACCGAGGCTATCACTGCGGACTTCTGAAACTGTGACACTGCTGCACCGTTTATGAATTTTTTGATGGATTATAGATTTGACAGAGCCTTGGTACATTAGGCTAAAATTGCTGCATGCCCCTTAGGGAATCTTTCACATCTCACTTAAATAATGAAAATAATTTCTCTGATTTTTTTTAATTACAAAAGCATTAAATGTTTATTAAAGAAAAGTCAAAAATCACAGATAAGCACAAGAAGATGATCATCTGTAACCCTCCCACCACACAGGAACACTGCAGCCCTCTGCGAGGCCGTGGGCTCTGCTCTACCTTCAGCTCGGTGACACTTCATGCATGTACCCCTTTCAAGCAAGCAGGCCACAGCGATACCTCCCAAACAGAGGAGTTCTGTAAGGCAACCACCTCAATACATTTTAAAGATCATTATCAATATCTTCATTTAAGAGGTCTCTAGCCTGGTATTAATTATGGCACCACTGTCTGATACAGGTGCTATACTGTGGTTTGCAAAGTAATGACTTTCTATTTCTTCTGCATTTGTAAGCCAGAGTTCTCACTAAAGAATTTTCATCCAGTTGGGTCATCTGTCGGCACTGAAATAGCACTTCTGTTAGAAAAGCAGGATTCTTCCCCTTTAATTATCAAGTTTTATACTCATTAACTATTGCCTTATACCTTCAACTGCATCTAGTGAGTTTTATTTCCTTCTCCTTCCCCTGGGAATTGTTACAAATTATTGCTTTCAAGGTGAGTTTCAATCATATGTAGTCATTAGTATTTCTGATGTCAAACTGTCCCATCTTTGACCTACAGTCTTGCTCTTCGCTTGTTCTTGTGTCCTTTTATTTTCATTTGGAAACTTTCTTAAATGCTGTATATTGAAAATAGCATAGCAAGTCCCTGTATAACTCAGCAGTTCTCTCAATTCATGAACACCCCAATTTCATCTACACCCGCTCCCTGCATGCCAGTGGACCAATCTGAAACAAACCTCTAAGACCTCATCATCTCTCTGCAAATATTTCAGTACGGCTTAGCCTCTACACACAACTTCTCCGTCATCTCAATCAAATCACAGGAGCCTTTTCTGATTTTGTAGCTTTCTGGCATAAGCTCCAAACCTGAACCAATCATTTCTCTTGAGGAGGCTAGTCCTGCTCAGGGAGGACGGTGTTTGGAGTACACAACCTAGGGCTAGGAGTGTTTATTGCTACTGGGTCACCAGAGCTCTAAGGGCTTTCAGGACCCTCCCAGGTGGTACAAAGGGCTAAGGCACAGCACCGTGATGCTCACTGCAATCACTTGAGCTGAGTTTGATCCCCGGCCAGGGAGGTGGCGGCAGACCTCTCTTGACCAGCCCGCTGCTCCTCTCAGCAGTGTACTTGGTCAAGTACTCTGGTGAATCCTCCGCCTCTGGTGAATCCTCTCACCCCTCCTGCACCTCTGGCCTGTACCCCAACCTGTATGCATAAATAAATACATCTTTAAAAAAAAAAGAGCAAAACAACCACATTACATTCATAGCAATCCATGTATAAAAGAAGCATGGAGTTTTTAATTGAACTTCTTTGATTTTTATATCTTTTCTCTCATGTGGAAAATTACTAACATGAAACTAGTTACTTGTTTCATTCTACACTGCATATGTAAGAGGTCCAAATACCATGATTATTACCTACAGCAAAATTAGTGAAGTTCAAGATTCCTTTGCAATTCCCTTTTTACCCCTGTATTATATCCTAACAAAGGTATATAGTCAAAACTCTGTATTCAAAGGACAATTTGAATACATTTGACACCAAACAGGTTATATCACCAAAACATTTTCAATTTTTAGGCAGTGTTCTTTTAATGCACAACTTCGATTTCTTTATGAAAATGTTTATATATTTATAAATTCAAAACAATAACACAAGGTAACTTAGAAGTTTTGCTACTCTCTTCCTTCCTTACCCCAATAATCATTTTTTTAAAGATTTACTTATGCAGCCCTCCCTGGTGGCGCAGCGGGTTAAAGCACAGCACTGAGAAGCTAAAGCCACTTCTACATGAGTTCGATCCCCACCTGCCCCAGAGGTGACCACATGGCGAGGCAGACCTCTCCTGACCCGCCCGCTGCTCCCCTCAGCAGTG